TTTAATGTAATGAAAAATAATCACAGTGCTCCTGAAAGCTAATGTAGCATAATATTCTTCTTATAGAACCTCTGTAGTAAACTACACTCCACTAACCTTATCTTCCGTGCTTGACAGGCACCAGCCTGGGGTTTGTGCTCTAGCAATTCTGTTTTACTGGTCAACACAGAATTTTAATTAAGCATTGCTTATAGACTGCATCATAAATGGAAAAATAAAATTAGAGCGTAGCCTTACATGGGGTTTATTATGGTACATGAAGGTGATCTTATTTTTCTCCTAAACCCATGACTATCTTATGATGTTACATAATCAGTGGTTCAATCACAGAATCACAGAAGCGGGTCCTCTGTAATTTGTCCAAGTCATTAAATTTTTACAGGCTTTTACACTAGAAAATGGAATTTTTCTTTTGCCTTCTCAATAGTTGTGCCAGTTTATAAAACATTTATGTATTACTTTAGGAAAGAATAGGCCAATAGGTTAATAGTGAATCCTCAAGTTATTTCAGATTTTCATAAATATGTAAAATAAAATATGTCATCTGCATCTATATACTTTAAAGTGTATATATTTACAGAAAAATACCTACTTTAAAATTTGGGCAAAACATGGGGGTTTTTATTTCATAATTGGAAAAAACTATATCTACTAATACATTTTGGGAGAGGGGTCTATGCACACGTGTGTGGGGGGGTACATCTTTGTTTGTGTGTATTTTTATGTACAGATTTTACCAATACTTGCCTCACTTCTCTCTAAGGAAACTTAATATTAGATGGGCATATGAAAGCAACATTACGTTAATTAGGTTACCTGAAAATAAAGGTTACATGAAAATAAAATGTACTAATAGTATTTAAACTGTTACTTTATATTCATCCTATATTATAGGGTTTGGTTAAAACATGATTTTTCCTAGCAGATTTTTGCCTTATTTATCATGCATGCTTTGGCAATGAAACTTACAGCAGGGGCAATACAGGATTTGTGCATCAGGTTCTTTATTTTTGAATATTTATGGATTATATTACAGTCTTGTCCCAAGATATACAGGGCTTTGTGGGAACCATTGTAGGGTCGAACACCTATAGTTTTTACTCAAGTTCTGACCAGATCTGGGAAGAGCATCGCTAGGGCTTTCTAATGCTTAGTGTCTTGACAATAAGCCAGTGACATGCCCCTGCATCAAAGCAGGACTGCAGCCTCCTGGGCTGCAGTTGGCAGAGAAGGACCAGCAGATCAAGGGAAATGATCCTCTACTCAGCGCTGGTGAGACACAGCTGGAGTGCTGGCTCCCAGAGCTCTCAGTACAAGAGAGACAGGGGCATAGAGACGTGGAGTTCCTCATCTGCCAGTTGGCAGAAGGTTAAATCCTTCATTGCAGGATTGGAATAGGGTGCAGAAACATCCTCTGAGGGCAATGTGGCATGAATACCACAGCAGTCCAAGCAGGTTCACTCTAGAAAGGATCAGCTATTACAAATGCATTTAAGGAAGAAGTAACAAGCAGAGATTGTTACTTCTTTTAACTCTTTAATCTCCCTTTTGTCAGTCAGTCTTTGCTTTCCCATTTACCTCTTTGAGCATGTCAGTAATTGTCTATTCACATTGTCAGTGTGTCATGGTTTGAGATAGCCTCAAAATCCAATCCCCTAGTCTAAGCCCCCTCCCACATCTAAACCTAATGTGAGAAGGGTTTTTCCAGACAAAACACACCAGACTCAGAATGGGGAAAGGGAATATATTACAATGACTGTACAATAAATACCATATCACATTATACACATGATCACAACTGAACTGAAAGCTGCCTTCAATGTTCTAACCCAAGAGGAGTGAAGATCTACAAGGAAATCCCCCGAAGGCTCNAGTAAATGCTGACCCAAGACCAGGGTCAAACTTGGAGGCCACAATGACTTTCCTGAAAGAGCCCTGAAAGGGTAGTTTAGGTGAAATTTAGGCACTAAAGAGAAAATGAGCAAACCACAAAAGTGTATCCAACTGCTTTGCTCTTAAGTAGCTATAGATATCTAAGTATGAAGCAGCCATGTAGCACAGGCCCCATAAGTTCTGCTCACGTGGTGCTAAGACCTCTACTTTGACCAATATGAGTCTGCCAAAAAGGAAAAGTTGACATCCACCTTTCCTATAATAGCTGATGGTTGGTGAAACTCCTGAGAAAGAAGAGATATAGGCAGCACACAATCCTTGGCCTGCGGCAGTCCACACTCATGCTCTCCTGCAGGCCACATATCCAGTGCAGGATGTATCAGGGTTCTCAGCTGTTCCTTGAATTGGAATTTGTGGGCTGGAAGGCAAACAGCACAGCCAGAGAGGAATGAGACATATCTGTGTCTTAATAGTAGCAGCACACTGCTGGCAAGACTGACTCTCACATCAGGCAGAGGATGGGCCAAGTGGCACAGTCTGACTAATGTGGAAACAGGTCTGTAAACCTCCACTGACAAATCCAGAGAGAAGAACTGACAGTCTTCAAAAAAAGGCTGTCTATCTCACTTCATCCATAAGAAAAGGAAGTCCAGCGCACAGACTGTGTGAAAGTGAGGAAAGGAAGTATGGTGAAGTAATGGCAGATGCTGGTAGAGTCCCAAAACACATCAAGAGGAGTGGAATATACCTGGAGGAAATGTTTAAGTAATGGTTAAGTTTGCTTAGATGTATATCCTTTTCAAAGGAATTACAAAAGTGGACCATGTTGATGAGTTGCTGTTCCCAGTTAACAAAAATTTCACTTCTGATGTTTCTCCTGCTTTTCTGTACTATTCATCAAATGATTCTTAATGAGACACAACTTCAGCTGCAGATACAGTGATCATCTTTCCATGAATAACATTGACACACAATGCAATCAAGAATCATTGCTTTACTAGCCAGTCCTATAGTTCATTACTGTAGAAAACCTGAAAAAAACAGGACCGTCTCACTTGCTATTAATTCTCAATTTATTTAAACCAGTACTTTCCTTCAGATTAGCTTATTCATGAACTTTGTGTCCCAAGTAAAATGGTCAATGTCCAAAAAAAAAATTCTAAAAATTATTGTGTGTAAGGAAATTAAAGTATTGCGACCATAGTCCCAGTTGACATACCAGGCATCAACCCAATTAAAGGAGCCTTTCATGGGCAAAAAAATGATGGGAGAAAGCTCAGGATCAGTCCTTTGTTCCTACCCTAAGGACAACAAAGAAAATTCCAGGAAGCTTGTTCTTTATTAAAAAACCATAAAGAGACATACTGTATGAATAAGTGTGCCAGATGAGAGCATTTCTATATAAGGCTGGGTCTAGAAGCCAAATTCAGAGATAAATCCTGCTTCCAGCCAAATATATGAACACAGATCATTGCAAAAGCAAAGGGAAGGTCTCCAGTAAATCATATTGTCTCCAGTAAATCATATTATCCTTCACCAGCCAAGTGACTAACACAAGTTTAACTTCAGCAAGACAGAAATTATCCCAAAGGAATAATATTCTTGTCTTCCTGTGAGAAGAACATGTTTGCATACACTACAACTGTTCTTAATATGTCCTGGAAGATCTATACAAAATTTCTATTGCATCTAGATGGAATTGTCTCCTGTCATGGTTTGAGATGTTGTGATCATGTGTATAATGTGATATGGTATTTATCTGTACAGTCATTGTAATATATTCCCTTTCCCCCATTCTGAGTCTGGTGTGTTTTGTCTGGAAAAACCCATCTCACATTAGGTTGAGATGTGGGAGGGGGCTTAGACTAGGGGATTGGATTTTGAGGCTATCTCAAACCATGACACAGTGTAAAGAAAAAATGCTCAAGTCATCCAGAAGTACTTCCTTATGACCAGTTTAATGACTGTTCAGTATGATCTACATCAGTTCTGTTCTGTCTAGTTCAGTAGTCAGTGTCTCCAAACAGTTACTTTAAAAGAGCAACTGAGTATAAAAAGAAAAAAAAATCTGAGATAGAGAATTCCAGAACCAAATTTTCTTAGAGAATCTCAATACCATTTGCCATACATTGTGCCATAGTCTTCAACTGCACAGAAATCAATACCTGTCCACGGTGGGAATACACATCCTTTTGTGAGTCTCCTCCAACAGAATCATCACATCTGGCACTGAGGTTTTTATTCTGTTCATGTCAACTGAGATACTTGTTGCATCTGTCTGCTACCTTTTAAACACAAGATGAAGTTCTGTTGGCAGTATAATAATGGTTTAAGCATTCAGTGTGAGTGATAATATAATATGTATGGATGTACATAAATATATATGTGACAGTTTGCTTATGCATGAACACAGATTAATTTTCAGGATCATTACATTAATACTTAAGCTTTAGTCATTCATACCAGACTGTTTTAGGGATCTCTGTTTCTGCAAAACATAGTTAGCTTTATGTCCAGAGGACACTATAACATACTGCTATGTGCTCCTATGTCCCTGATATATAACTAAGCTTTGGAACAGGATGCCTTTGGAGGCTGTGGAATTGCCATCACAGTAAGATGAATATTACCAACTTCTTGGGAACATTTCAGTATACTTACTGTATTTACATGGCAGGAGGAAAACTCTTTTAGTTCCTTCTAGACCAACTTTTCCAGTATTCCTAGGAAAAAATCTCAAAAAGCAAAGTATTTTTTGTGGGTGTAGATATTTGGGAAAATTGAATGCCCTCACTTTCTCTGGGAGTGATGTCACACAAGATGTGCTACAGTTGTTGGCTGGCACAACTGCTTGAACAATAAAGGAGCTCAACTAAAATGTGCTGTTCTAGAGACTTATATCTGTGTTTGCATACCAATTTTCAAGTTACTACTACTTGTGGCTGCCATGGGGTGTGTTCAAGATTTGGCATTTGCTTTGGTCACTGTATCTAATTTCTCTATCAAGTTATTTCCCTCAATACCTAGCAAAGATCCACAATTTTGTTATTAGAAATCTTAGCATTCTGTACTGTATTTACTGAGAGAGATAACTCTTTGTTTTTCAGAGCTTCCATATGGCTGGGAGAAAATTGATGATCCCATTTATGGCACTTATTATGTTGAGTAAGTTCCCAAGTTCAATATTAAGTTGCTATTAATATGTGATAACCTCTGCAATGGTGGTATCCTCTGCAATGCTTAATCTGGCAAGGAATGGGTACAATTACTTGACATATTAAACTAAGGGTATACCAGAAATTCTCAGTCTTCAGTGCAGTTAATGTGTCCAAATACATTCAATGTGTCTCAAATCAGTGACTCAGGCATTCAGTGATTTTCTTTCTCCAGGGTCTGGTTTTATGGTACCGTTCCAGCTGATACTTGTACAAAGATCATATTCATTAAAGAAATGTTGCATTTTCTATGTGAGCTTTGGATATCCAGTGAGGCAGAAACCTTGTTAATCAATGAACGGAGCAAAGCATAATCATTTTAGCTCAGTTAAGATCCATTTCTGGGTAGTCCTTCCTTGCTGCAAATCAGATGTTTATACTGTTTGTACCAGAACACAGGTTATTTATATGCTGCATATAAAATTTTAGGGATATTGTGTTTTATTTTGTATTTAAAAGTGCAGCTGAAAAGAAGAGAATATAAATTCTATTTTCATTGCACAATCCTTGCTTTCATTTTTTTTTCAGATTTTATTTTAGTCATGAAACAAGAAAAAATCTAGTTCCTCTGTGCAAAGGGCAACAGAAAGCTTTTGTTTGAGGTAACAGTAGAACCTGGCCAGTTCATGTATAGAATAAGTAAATCTGAGAGATTAATTTCTCTGCTTTTTACCTTAACACAGTGAATGAGATTCATGTAAAGTGACTCTAGATTCAGAATTGTGATACCTGTTTCGACTGGTCAGCCCAAATCAGCTTAGTCAGTCCAGATTCAAGTAAAAAGATAAGTAATACCATTAAATTACTCCCTCTTGTTCTGCCCAAGTTATTTTATGATGTCCCAAAGTGGGTGAGGGCTGGAGTTCTCATATCTCTTTGTACTTAGCTCCCTGAAGATTTCTGCATGTGCAATTATGCAGCTGCTGGGTATAAGTAAGTCTTCTGTCCCAGTGGGTTTAGTGTATTTTGGTCAGTAACAGGTGCTGTGTGATTTCTGTCCGTTAATCACTTGCTGAGACCCCACTTGGTTGTTAGCATGGCCCAAGGCATTCTGGCACTGGGGAGGCTCACACTTCACTGCAGAGCCAGAAAAGGAGCAAGTGTTTATCTCCATTTCATGTCCAACCACAGGTAAACAGACATAAGGCACCAGGCCCAGATGTTACCATGCAATTACCCACTTTAGGGCTGTTAGTGCCAAATTATTTAATCCTACCACAGACAAGATTTGTGGACAGATACATCAAACCTACTGCAGTCTCAGAGGTTTTTAGAAGTGGAATAGATGTTCATGGAATGGCATTAAAACTGCAGCCGCGCTAAATTCAAGCAGAGTTTTATAGACAGTAAAACATAGTTGCACTTTAAATTGCTGTCTGAGCTCAATAAGTTTGAAACAGAGATTGCTTTCCATTTTTCCTGCTAAAATGTAACAGTCACACCTTTTTTATTACCAATATTCAACAGATGAGTTGATTTTTAACTAGATAAAATCAGATTACAATAAGTTCTCTTAATTATGTCGTAAAACAGGGTAAATCATGAAAAGCAAGATTACGAACTTCCACACATTCAAGTACAGTCCAAGTTTACATGCAGGCCTACAAAATTGTCAGTGAAGGAAAGGCTTGTACTCTGCTCACTGATTCTTGTATCCCATGGGAAGTTTGTAAGGATGAGCAATGAGACAGACTCCGTTTCACCTTACGAGAAGCAGCCATGCTCAGCTCAAATATTCTGAGGCCAGAGGCAAAGCTAAAAAAACCCCAACAAAACAAAGTAAAGAAAGGAACACCTCTTGCTAGTAAAGTTAATAAAGACTAATCACAACATATTTGCAAATTCTGTTAAGAAGAAGGCTCTCCATTATAACTTCCTCTCTTAATTATGCATGAATATAGGTGTGAGACCTTATTATAATTTCGATTTGCCTTATTATGCAGATCCAGACTTCATTTGTAAGGTGTAGACATTTGACATAAGTGAGAAGTGTTTGCTATAGGTTTGTTAACGTTCATGCACACTGGTCCTAATTTATAAACTAAGAATGAGCAGCACTTAGCTATGCAGGGCTATGGAGAGAAAGTAGTTATTAGAATGCACTGGGTCTTTCAGTATTCTAATTGACAAAAGATTGTTTCTCTCTTTAAGGATGATTAACTACAACACAGAGCTCAATTTCCAGACATGGGCTGCTTAATTGAACAGCTAAATTAGCCATACAGGTAGTTATTCTGGAAAAATATACCTCCTTGACTTTCAGTTTCTGAAAATGCTCTGTTACTACTCAAATAGAAAAGGTTATTTCAGGTCTTTTTGTCATTATAAAGTATTATTAACTGGAAAATGTGAATGTAAAGTGGAGTTAGGGACTAACAAGTTATACATTAGAATGTCCATCTTTTAGGCATCTTGATCCTTCTAATTACTTTGTTGGGTTATAGACAACAATTCCAAAAACTATAGTCACAAACTACCAAAAAAACCCCATACATTAAAGCAGGTAAGAAAAGGAGATAGATTAAACTCCTTCTGCTGGTGCACGTGCTTAGACCTGCTACCAATTTTGTCAGGACTCAGCACCTTGGCCATCAATTAAAGTCTGCAAACTAGAGACTATTGCCCATAAATCTCCTAAGGATGTGTTTCAGTTAAGGACATCTAATGTGAACCTCCATCACAAAAACAACTTAGTCTGGCCCCAGTGACTCATGAGATGTCTTATAGGCTGGCTGGTGCTAACAGTACCTCCTCATAACACAGAGATAGTATTTTGACATCACAAGTAAATGCAGCCCAAAAGTAAATCCTACCTCTGAGGGTTTGTCCCCAGTTAAGATATGGTGAGCTAACAGAAGACAGCAGTACCAGCTACCCCTTCTTGTCTGCAGAGGGAAATTCCGGGTTCCCAGGACTAGAAAGCAAACAAAAGGCTGCATGATTCTCCTGTACAGCCACAATGGCACTAGGAGAAATTAGCTGGATTAGTCTTTGGATTAGGATGTCAGATTTAATATGCATTATATAAAGTAAGGGAAGAAAATTGAAGTTAGAATTGTTCGCTGAATTAGATACTATGAGCACTGAGTAATAAATTTTTGACTACTATCCAAAATCTGTTTTAACCACAAAAGCACTTATTTGTAACCATCTCTAAAACTCACATTTGGCTTGTCTTATTAAGGCATAGGTTAGTAATATCTATTTTGTATGATGTTCAAGTAGCTAGATGAAAGGCTAGAATATCCTTTCAAGAGAACTACTTAGCTTAATAACTTATTTCTCAGGTAAACTCATCAGGAGTTATTTTTCTGATTTATCTATGAAGCTTTATAGCACTTAAAATTGCATAAAAGGGACATGTTTCATGTATCATCAGTCTGGGAGCATAATCCATTTTTACTGACATAAAAATGACTGATTATCAGAATAATTTTCTTTTCTTTGACTCCTCTTTGACACAATATTTAGTGCAGTTTTTTGAATTTCACACTGTGCTTTTGAAACTGTACACTACCAAAAAAAACAGTAAAAATATGGGAATAAATTGAAGCTAAAAATTATTAAGATTGCACCAACAACTTGAGGTGTTTCAAGTACCTCTGTTAGTCTTCCTATCTGATCTGATAGGACAAAGTGTCACTTTCAAGATAGCTGTTATCAAAGACATTTCTGTGTAAATGGACCAAACTACAATTTAAATTCTACCTAGAAACTGTAGATAGGCAGTAGAAAACCGATTCTAGCTGTGATATCAGTGCCACAGTAACTATTGTTCATAGAGCTGTGGGCACATTATATATTAGCTAAAATCCCATCTTTTTTTATATTGCAGAACCACATATAAATTGGAACTTAGATCTGTGAGAGCCCTCCTGCAGCACTGAGATGTGCCCTGCAATTATAACATGACACTAAGCATAGTTCAAGGTCCTAAGTGAAGATCTGGAGTCTGATCTTGGATACTCATTACATCTGCAGAATGTGGCACAAAAGCCATGGGAAACCCATGCTCTTCTGGAGGGCAGGTGAAGAACAGGCCAGGACACTTTAAAACCTCTAAAGAAGATATGATCCCTATGCTGTAGCAACCATGGTTTTAACGTTATCAAATGCTAACATAAAACAAGCTAGAAATTGTACCCGGTATCTCCTACTGGGAGCTGTTTAGTAACTTCCCATTTCTCCTTGTAAGAAGACTACAGATTTCAAGTCTGAAATCCTGACATCTTTAATATATTCTAGTATTTACTTCCAAATATATTCATCGAATGCATTTATATCTCAGAATTAATTCTACTTGAATAAAAAGCTAAAACTTCTTTGATCTTCTGTCATAGAAGACTCTCTTTCACTGGTCTTCCTGTAAAACCTTTCCTATAAATTCATTTTATTTGATCATGGGTGGTTAGAACTTTGTGTAGTATTTCATGGGATAGTTATCACTGTCTTGTCTAATGGCAAAAGTAGTATTTCCTTTACAATATGGAAATACATCACATGATAGATGGTAGCATGAAATGTACTTTTTTCATGCTTATGTTAGTAGTTCAGGATTACCTTATTTATTGCATGTAAGTCTTGTCTTTATTTTTACCTAGGAAAGTTTGTCTCCCTTCCATCATAAGTTTCTAGGTTTGCAATAGACTGAGATGCGGAAGACCCTGACAATTAATAGAAATGACAAGCAAAAGTCTAGGAAAGGAAAGCCTACCATCTTAAACAGCCTGTTTGAAGAAGGAAAGAAATGAAAGGGACTTTTTCTGTCTGCAGCGTAGGCTAAAATTTACAAGAAAACTATTAATCAAAATTTTAGAGTACAAAAGTAAGTTAGCAGCCACTTGAATGACTTACAGCCGTGTGAACAAAGTAGCAACTTTAGGAGTTATCACATTTACTTTGTCTCATTAAATCAAATATTCTTTTACATGACTGGAAGTCTTTTCATTGCATTAACCCTGGCCACTAAATCCTATTTAGCGAGTGGATTGCACTCCCATAGGACTTGCTGCCTTTCCTCTACCTCACTTTCTAATGGCGATTCCACTTACTTTCTTTGAAGCACTGGTAGGATCAGAATCCCAAGGAACCTGAAAAGTGCTTAATGTGGCACAAAAGGTCATTTCAATGAAAATTGAAGATATTCAACCCTTTTAGGATCTTAGCATTTCAAAAGTTCCAAGGTCACCTTTCCAAGTGCTTAAAGCCCATGATTGGGATTGGATTTTCAGAACTCAATAGATAGTAGCCCACTGAGAACAAATAAGCACGTTTGAAAGCCTGCCCTTCTGTACAAATGCATTTACTTCCCCATAAGAGTGTTGGAAACACAAGCCCCTTTTCTTAGTTGTGATACTATTGTGATCCTATCTTTCAGATTTGTTCCATGCAGCCTACTAAATTGTTTTGCCTTCTTCAGAAAACATGTGAAACATAGCCCCGGGCAGGATTGTAGGATTGCTCAGTGACTGATGAAATGTTTTGCTTTAAAGAATTAAAATCAAGAATATGATAAGATGTATGTAGTTAAGATAGTAGTTCTAAACAAAATATAGAAAAATAGTGCTGTAATTACAGAGGTGTAGTGAATGACCTATGGTAGGAAATGTCAAACTTCAAGAAAAAATATGTACCTTAACTTTTCTTATATTTCATATACTGATCTATGTACTTCTAATCTACCATCTGACTTAGTTTCTGCATCCAATTTTTGTGTACAACTGAGCAGACATACACCATAATATTAGAAAGGAATAATCTTCAGTTTATTTTCTATGTTAGATTTATTTCTAAGTTGCTATCATAAGAGCAGTCTGTGTTCTAGGCTTTTCCTTTGCTGTAAGTGATGGAGTAAATTCACTTACAGCTGATCGATAATAATGCACAAAACTGGATCAGAGCCTTTGAATCATGCACAGAATAGTGCTCATACTGAAGACATGAAAAACTGTTGCTGTAGCATGCTTCAGCAGTGCTGCTGTTAAATATGTTCTCCCATTGATCAAAACCATTTGTCTGTAGCAGAGTTTGGCATATTGAAATGATAGGACGCTGCTCAGTGGTGTTCATTATGCGGTGCAGATTGTCCCCTACAAAACTGTGTGGAGTAGAAGGGACGTGCTCAGGCCCATTGGGGGTTCATAACGGTTCACTCTAACTGCACACACCTTAGTCACATACATTATTTTATCATTTTCCCCAACTGAACCGAATTTTTAATCAAAACTAAATTTTTTCCAGCCACATAAATAGAAGAACTCAATTTGAAAACCCTGTCCTAGAAGCAAAAAGGAAGCTACAGCAGCATAACATGCCCAACGCAGAACTTGGAACAAAGCCTATGCAGGCCCAAGGTTTCCGAGGTACAGTACTGTGTCAGCTATCTTAGTTAAGATGAAAGTTCCTGCTCTTCTGGGTGTGTGACAATGGTTTTGTCATAGTCTGATTAGAAGAGTAGTGTTGCCGATTCTCATAATGTTATCACCTATATCCTAACAATTTTCTCCCTTAAATGTCTGAGTTCCAATAGTTGCCTCATGAGCTGCCTAAAATGCCTAAGTTTCAGAGGTGCAGAGGAAAGACAGAAAAGTCAACTCTAGTGTCTCCTGAAGGCTGAGAAACTGAAACCATGATAAGAGCCCTAAAGTAATTTTCTAAATAAAATCATAAATTCTGTCCCTGGGAATGTACTCTCTCTTGAGCACCTGAGGTTGGCAACACTGAAATAATTAATTGTACTTTCTGTAAATTACTCTTAATTGATGTTTGGTATGTTTCTAAGCTAGCTCATCTAGCAAGCATCAATTACGTTAAAAGCCTCAAGCACGGTGTTATAGGAGTTTACAAGAATACAGCCACTTAGTTACATAGAAATAAATGTGCTTAAAATGAGCTGTGTAAGCAGCAAACAGTATTGGTAGAGACAAATGAGCTTTAACGTGAGGTTATAGCCAGAGAATGAGGCTTGTTCTCCTTTGCAACAGTAGAAAGCTCCTCATCAACCTTACCTAGACCCAAATTTGCCCGCCTGCGCCTCGCCCCCAAGAGGTCTCGCAGCGTGAATGACCTGTCCCAGTGGCGGCGTGACCCCACCGGGACGCGCAGGCTGTACGGTACGTGCTCCGCTGCGGCCACAGCCAGAGCAGCTCAAGTCACAACCTTTGCACCTTCCTCCAACCCTTCCTCACCACGTGCAGCATGGGAGAGAAGCACGGGGAGCCCCACCACCACCCACACCACACGAGGCACGCGGAGAGGGGACACGGAGGTTGCACAGCAGTTGTGCGTGTCACTTGTTGGATGCCAAAACCCCTGTGTGTCTGGAGAGAAAAGCTCACCTAATGTTTAGCTCTTCTTGGTAAAAAATGGAATGAGGTGTTCACAGGGGATATTTTCCTCATTGTGGTTGGAAGGGAAATTGTGGAGAATGTATTACTTTGTAGACAAAGCAGAATTTATGGGTTAGGAAAGAGGTTTTTAAATTACCTCACAGATCATTTTTATTGTTGTAATTATTTTAGCGACACAATATCCACTTCTAAATGTATTTCTAATATGAAAGAATATTTATAACTCCCCATTTATGGCTGATCTGCCATAGATAAGAAATATGTTTTAAGCTTTGTATTAATACAAGATCTCACAAATATTTTTCCTGGAATGCCTGCACCCTTTGTTTTCTTGCTTTTCATACACTGTCACTTTCTGTCAGCCAATATTGTTGTCTGCTGTCCCTGCTGTGTTGTGAATAGATCCGAACTTTTGTCTTTCTTGTTTGTGTTGACTGATGTAGAAAAACCACTCTTCACCCGTGATGCATCACAGCTGAAGGGGACTTTCCTCAGCACAACTCTTAAGAAAAGCAACATGGGTTTTGGATTTACCATCATTGGTGGGGACGAGCCAGATGAATTTCTCCAGGTGAAGAGTGTTATTCCTGATGGGCCTGCAGCACAAGATGGGAAAATGGAAACAGGTAATTAAGAAGGTTCCTCTGTTCTTTTATATGAGAAATAGAATGAGAAATATATTTCTGAGTCTCACTGTCTCCATGAATAGATACATTTTTACATATAACTTTTTGTCTTAATATGTAGAAAAGGTAAGTTTCTCAGTAAAACTTTCTTGTAATTTTCCTTTCTAATAAATGCCAAGTAGCTTTTTTTTCCTCATTTCACAGTATTTTAAGGGAGAAAAGATGTCTGCATTCTCCTACATAAAAATGGATATGATGTTCTTTGGTTTATATGCTGTTTACTTAAGGGGAATCTGGAAAGAGATAGGCAGAGAGAGCACAGACTACTAAGTGCAAATTTATTTATTTAGAAAGGATGTAGTTTCAAAATAATCTGTTGAGTCTAATCCAACATTGTTGTCATTATAGCCACCAAAACAAGAATTTTCAATGTGGCATATGGCACATAGGCACATAGGCATTTGTGTCCTATTAATAAAGAATCTGTGAGAACTAACAAAAGAAAAGAAACCACTTCTGAAGAGATTTAAAGCTGCTCGGAAGATCTGAACCACCACTGGGAATATTTTCGTGTCTACAGATTGATAAAGATTGCAAACCACTGTCTGAAAGGTTTGTCTGGTCATGTCAGGTCTGTGTACGAATAAAACTCTGTTGGAGGAAGATGAAGTCAGTTTCCAAGCAAGTTGACATCTTCTGGGGGAGAAGACAATCAGAGAATAATAGAATAATTTCAGCTGGAAGGGACTTCCAGTGACTAACCTCCTTCTTAAAACAGGGCTAACCTTGTGTTGGATCGCGTTTCTCAGGGCTTCATTCGTGAGACTTAAGAAAATTTTATAGGACATAGATTCCACAGCCACTGTGGACTCCTGTCTCAGTACTTTACCACTCTCATGGTGAAGATTTTTTCCCAGACAACCTGCGGATGCCCCATCCCTGGAAGTGTTCAAGGCTAGGTTGGATGAGGCCCTGAGCAACCTGATCTAGTGGGTGGCATCCCTGGCCATGGTGATGGGGGAGGAACTAGATGAAGATCCCTTTCAACCCAAACCATTTTATGGTTCTATGATTTTTGTTCTTTAGATACAGTTGGGCTTTCAACTGCTGCAGCTGGTAACTAGTGACTGAAGTCTTGTGTTTGTGCAGCCCTGTCACTCTGTACCATCCGTCCCAGCAATCCTTCTTCCTCAGATAATAAGTCAGGCTACACATTGATAATGAGATAAATGTGCAGAATTTATCTTTCCATTTCTCATCAATACTTTAAAATAAATAAGTGCTAGTTTGGATTTTTCTTGCCTCTGCAGAAAACGAAGTAGTCGCCAGATTCACTGTGAAGGTAATTTTGTAGACTGTGATAACAAATCACTGTGGATGGACCACAGCAGCAGAGCAAGTTCCTTTTACTATGTTACAGTACAAGAGGCAGACACAGAGACACACACAGGCACAAATAATGCTGATGGAATAGTCTCAAGTTATGTTTCTGGAAATTTCCTTTCATCCTTCTTTTATCATAGTAGATGGGTGATCTGGACTATCATATGTCAGAATAAATCACTCTGAACTCTAGTTTATTCTGTAGGACTTTCCAGGACTTGGCAAGTAGGAAGTGCGAAGGTTGTGAAAAGCATTATTAAAAAAAAAATTGCTTCAGATGTTATTTTATAGCTGGCATGATGTTTCTAATGCCAAAAAGATAAACAGAAAATTTGTATGAAGTAAAATGTAAGAAAGAAGTAGGTTGTTTGCATTGGTTTTATAAAAAACAGCTTTTTTTGATTCTCATTTCGTATTGCCATTTTAACTTAATGCAATTTGGTTCCCAAAGCCAAAATTTATTAAATTAGCTTGTTAAGGTTATACAACAGAATTCCTGAAGTTCAGAAGATTTCAGTAATGTGAAATTCATTTTTCCCTAATATTTTCATATTACCTAATACATGACATGAGTGCTTTTGCTTGTTTGTCGTGGTTTAGCATTCTCAGGTGCACCACTCAGATATACTTCCTTGTTAATCCTTCTGAATAACCTGGGCCAATTATTGGTGAACTTGTTCATATGGAGTTCTTTTCTCTGGAAAGCAGGTATCCTTGCAACTTACTTAAATTTTTACCTTGAAATTGAATACAGATTTCATAATACTATTGATGATGAGTATTGTAGACATGGATGAGAATAAATAGGAAAAAGGTGCTTTAAAATGTATAGAAATAATATTGATTATTTTTTTCCTGAGGTAACTAATTCAACTATATTAAGAACGCAAAACAGAAATGTAAATTCAAATACATAATCACTCTATAATAACTCTATAATCCCCAAACATACAAAATTACATATCAGAACAAATTTTGGTCTCAAATGTCTTCGTTGTTAGAAGTCACAGAGTTCTAATGTAAAGTAGCTGGAGAATCTCAGACTAATGTTTGTGGCATCTAAAATAGATATGAACACTTGAAGTAATTTCTAAATATGATAGTGGTAAACTGAAACAGTATGTTTAAAGTCAGAATGTTTATAAAAGCACTACTGTTCAGTAAAGTGCTTGTATTTCTGCTATCCTATCCTTTTCACACTTCCTGAAGTAGGATTTCTCTTCCTCTTCAGCCATTTTTACAGTCTAATCAACTGAAGGTATGAAAGCCTCTCAGGTTCCATCAATTGTTTTTTGTTCATAAAGCTGTTAAAATCTTTTGTTTGAAAACTATTTGAAATTACATATGTTCCATTTTTTTTTTTTTTTGCTAGGTAGGCATCACTGGATGATGAATAGAGCTTTTAAAATAGATTTTATTTATTCTTTTGATACAAACTGTGAGTTTCTTAATTTATGTGCACTCCAGCTATGATCAGATTCATAGGAAGCTGTGATTAATGATCAAAACATCGTATTGTGGCAGTAGGACATCATAGTAGAAAGTCTGGGGACAGTGACAATGATATGTAAAGCAACCTGAATGTGAGGGATAACCACAGGTGCTGGTGCACCCAGGTCTAATATGATTCTGGACCATGTCCCTTGCAAGGCTGACACTATTCTTTGACTAAGTGGTTATAAAAATCTTTGTGCTTCAGACCTGCATCAGATTTGGGGAAAAAAAGAAAGAAAAGGCACCATCTCTTTCATCTTACCTGATCTTGACCAGAGGCTGAAGACACCATTACTGTACTTCAAGCTAGTTGTTAAAGAAACAAGCTCTTAGAAAACTACCAAAATCTAATCCACCCAAAATCTAATATAGGAGTCTGATGCAAATGCTATTCGAAGAGTGAGTCTGTGTAAGATATTGTCACCCTCTAATGTGATCATAACAAAGTGAGTTGACCTGCAGGTTTCAAAACCGAACAATTCTGGTCTTCATCCTTTGGAACAGAGAATCACAGAGTCACAGAATGGTTTGGGTTGGAAAGGACCCTCAAGATCATCCAGTTCCACCCTCTGTACCGAGAGGAGGTACACCTTCCGCTGGACCAGGTGGAACTCCAGGGGGTTGACCACACCACACAGCTTGGTGTCGTTGGAAACTTGCTGAAGGAGCACTCAACCCCAGGGTGCAAGTCATCAACAAAGATGTTAAATGGTGCCTGTCCAACACTGACCCCTGAGGAACACTACTGAAAGCTTGGAAGTCGCTGGGAACATGTTAACAGCTGCTTGACAGTGACTTGGCATTGCTGTGATGCTATGAAACAATAAAGCAATGAGGAAAACAGAGTGCACTGAGATGCAACAGGAGATATCTAAGGTCCTGACAATCTCTCAGCACCACTTGGTGCCCAGTGCTGGGCACTAAGAGATATTTATATTTGTCCTAGACCCACAATAAACCTCACAAGCAGGCTCAGAGGAACCAAAGAGGCTCAGAGTCAAAACCAAAGAAAATTGCATTCCTGATCCCATTTGCCAGATGTTTCAGAATTCGTAAGGGCTCTTATGCCCTCATGTAAATCTAGCATCTGTGAGCTAATGGCTGTTAATAACACTGCAAATGCCTTTCTAGGACATGTTTTAGCATTTGGAGCTCAATCAAGCTGCTGGATATGAACATTACACTCTACAGCATCTATGTCTACCTCAGGACAGCCTAGGAGCTGATACCACATTCTTTTCTGAGAGGTTACATTCCTTTGTCTTGTCTGAAGCTTCATGCAGATGATAGAAATGCTGTCTGTATTTAAGAGGCCCCTGCATCCCATTAAAATGCTGAGTGAACACACTGGTGAAAGACTGCATCTACATGAGAAGATTTTTATACAGTGAGTGATTTTGAATGATTGCTGTTCTAAGGCAAATAAAGTTTTGTGCCTGTGGCTGAACCAGATAAAAGCTCAAGCTGTAAAGGCAAATTCTTTCCTACAATTCTCAAGGTTATTCAATGGACTGGATAAACTGAAACACTCCCATATAATCAAGCTCAGGGAAAGATTCTCACTCTGCATTTCAGCAAGCTCTGTTTCCTTTGGTGGAAATTTCCGGGAAGCAACTCAAAGACATGGAGAACAAGTGGTTAAATAATGGAGTCTGGTGATGACCCTTCTACTGATGAATAGCTGTGGTGATTTCATGTTGAACTTTCCAGAAACATATATATATATATATATATATACATATATATATCTGTGGTGAAATGTCATAGCTCAACAGTGTGAATCAAGAAAGGGGAAACATGTTCTTTCATTTCATCTGCCAGGCATACACTTGGCCAGCTTTAAGATGCTAAATCATCTGTAAACAATGCAGACTTGGGCTTTTTTAGGTATTCTCTCGGGAATGGTAGTTTTGCTACGTTAGTTATCTGTTCTAGAGATAGAAATTCATAAATTAAAGATAAGGTTCAGCTAACAGATACAGATGTCTACAAGGCAGATGTCTACCTACCATATAAGTAGACCTCTACCACTTTTGCCTGACTGTAATATGATTAAGGCTAGAGACTAGAAATCTAGAAATTGGTCCCACATCTATGACTGAGAATTTCTAATGCACCTCAGA